ATAAATTATTCCATGTCCTTTCATTCACTGCCAAGCCAAACAAGCCACACAAGTCAAACAAGCCACTATATTTATAGACCTTAGACGTAATGTGCACGTTAATTATTTTTACTTTCATCTGCTGCCTCTAGCCAAATAATCCACTACATGTAAATGACTTAGACATAACTTGCATAAAAATTATTCCTTGTTCTTTCATTGACTGTTGAGCCAAACAAGCCAAAAACGCAAAAGGAGCCACTACAAATATAGACCTTACACATAACTCAATCAAACTGTTCCCCATTCTTTCATCCGCTGCTGAGCCAAATGAGCCAAACAAGCTACAAAATACATAGCCCTAAGAATTAAGGCATAAATTCAGTGTTCCTTTTTTTTTTTTTTTTTTTTTTTTTTTTTTTTCATCTATTGCTGACCCAAATGAGCATTTAGATATATGCTCCTGTAAAAGTGCCCCTGTAGTGTGTAGTTACTCTGTTACCTTAACCCTTTAACTCCCAAGATCTCATCAGTATTTCTCCTTACTGTCTCCCATACAGTTCTTGTGATGTTAGTTTGTGGAATTTGGTATTGGATCAACTTATAATCCCCTAACTGATATTCTTCTCTATTCTCATCACCTGCCTGCATGATATTGTATTGATATTGTAAGGAGAAATTCTGTCTTGGTCACTTATGGGAGTTAAAGTGTTAGTATGTTTGTGAATTAACCTTATGTACGACTGGAGTTTTTTCAACCTTAAAAAAATTTTTCCTAACAGGATTTGAGAAGACGAAGAAAAAACTTGGAAGAGTCAAGAAGAAGAAGAAAGTCCATGCAAGAATTTTATGCAGAAGAAAAATGATTCACCATTGTGAAGAATGAAAAGGCTTGAAGGAGTGAACTGGTTTGGAGAAATGCATTGAGCCCTGAAATGGTCTGCATGGAAAATGTAACTCTGAAGGGAGTCAAACGTTATGTGGTGTACAGAAGCTAACAGGACTGTCGTGAAAACATTTTGATGAAGTGATGTATCTGCCTCAAATATGGGTAATTGGACACTTCCATCATCTTTCAAGGGTGTTTTTTTCAATTTTTTATGACTTTTAGAATGTAATTTTTCCTTCCAATCTCAAGATAGCAATGGTCCAGATGAAGAATGTCAAATAAGTGCTTGATCCCTTAACCCCTAAGAGTGACTAACATCTAAATTCTCCTTACAATATCACCTATAAATCAAACATTAAGGTCATGAGAATTAAGGAGATGATCACCAACTAAAGAAGCTCTTGATTGTTGAACAAATTCTCCTCATCAGAACCGTAGGAAATGTCTAGAGAGTAGTATGGAGAATATGCATACTGATGTTAGGGAGTAAAGGCTGAAGAACTCTGGTCACAAAAGCAGTTTGTGCAAGTACAGGGACCCATGGGTGAGTTCAAAGTCTCACAGAGGATTCCAGATTAACCCTTTACGTCCTAGCATCAATGTAAGTATACTCCATACTGTTCTCTATGCATTTCCCAAGGTGCTGACAAGGAGAATTTGTTGAACAATCCAGAGCTTTCATGACCTTAATGTGTGATTCAGTAGTGGTTCTGTAAGGAGAAATAAGATGCTGAAGCTTGGTTTAAAAGGATTTTTTGCCTATTATCATAAAATACTGTCAATCTCTTGTAAGGACAGGCTTGTACTGCTAAGGTCCAAAGTTAACCGTGGTGTTAGGGAAGCATGTATTATACCACTATACCATCCCTCCCTGAGATTACTGTCAGAGTCCTGTCTATGGGGTCAAAGAATGCAAAGAAGTCTTTATTGTGTCTAGCCACTGTTGGTTCCTTGTTGCCCTTCTGAGGTCCAAAATTAGATCACAAGGAGTGTAGCTACAGTCCCAGACTGGACTACATGCAGTTCTTCCTCTTTGGTGAAGTCTTTCATGCGAGTTAAACGAAAGATATCAGTAAGGCCTACTTCTTGTGAACCTCACTCCCAGAGTTCTGTGCAACATGCCAACTTCAATCCTTTTCCCAATGATTTCGTTTGACTCGTGGGATGGACTTTACTAAAAAAGGAGCCACTGCTCATAGTTTAATCCCAAACACATTGGTCAAGACATTTGCTGTCTTCGCAGTCCTTGTCAAAGTTTGTTCACATAACTGCTTTGTTACAAACTGGTTATTTACAATATTGGTATAGGAAGAGAGGCAAAAAAACGAAATTAGTGGAGTTCCAAAGAGAAGCCCCAGATAGCTATTTCTGAGAGTGTAGTATTTTTATAGGGGTGGGGGTGGGGCACATTGACGGATTTCATGAAATGGCTCAGACCGCTGCCTTTCCCTGTGTACTAGCGGGCTCGTGTTCTCGCAGCGAGAAGGAACAGGAAATGAAGTATCCGGCGCTAAAAGAGATATCAAGCCTAATTACAAAGTTTTTTTAATTGAAAGAAAATTACAAGGTTTATATACTTGAAAGAAGGGGGGGATTGTCATTCATAGTTACGCCCTTGGGATTCATTTATCCTCGATAAGATGTTCGCGAGCTAGTGTTCAAGTAGCCTGTTCTAGGCTCTCAGTCATAGAAAACGAGCGGAAAAGTGCGCGAAATATGACGTTCGCAAAGTAAACTGGAACGCATCCTACGCATGTGCCTGCTCCATTTTTTGCGCATTAAATGATTTTCCTACTAATGGCATTGCGAAATGCTAACTGACTTTAAAATCTAACACAACCGGACATGGTTAAAATTCGTTAAGTTTATTTTTTTATTATTATTATTATTTTCTTTTTGCTTGGACGGTGCGCCAATCAATCTCAAACCGATTTTTGAGTGCAGTGAACATTGTGTAACCAGCTGCAACAACCCCAGTCTAAGATTTCAGCGAACTTCATTATTTTAAAACAAAGCAAACAGAAAACTTACCCGAACATTTTAGCGAGATGACAATCAAGTGATAATAAAACAGCACTTAAAATATCTTTTGGGAGAGTTATTGATTCGAAGAAGACGTTTATCTAATTTCGTCACAATTTTTCTTCATCTCCAAGGAAAGAGTCTTGTTAAGTTCATTATAAGGAGTATGTTAGCGAGAAAATCGGTAATTCTTGCAGTTGGGATAGTTATTGTCAGGCTTGTTTTTGGCCTTACCTTTCTGTTCGTCAATGAATCTGCGGGAGAAGGTGAGTAAAATATGAAATATTTTCATCTTCTAAAAATCGCCATAACGATACAGAAAATGTTCAAATGCTGATGACTTTAGGTTCATAACAATGATAAATAGCTTTCACTTTAACAGAGGAAAGAGGGTATAGAATGAGTTTATTCTGTGTTGCTTTTTATTCGTCAACTTTGGTGAAGATAAGCGGAATCGCGTCTCACAGAGTTTGGAAAATTCTAGCTGGAAAATAAAGCTTTTTGCATCATGTTGCCTCTCTCTGTCTAAACAGAACAACAAACTTGATTTGCTTTTAACTGAAGAATAAAGCAGCATTAGATTTCACTTAAAAACAATTTGCTCTAGGTCAATTTACCACTTTGTTAGAGCTTCGTTCAAAAGCCGTACGACTTTTGACGAGTGGTTTTTTATAACTCCTGGGAGAAAAGTTAGTCGTGAAAGCCTGTAAATACACTTTTCTTCGCCATTACTTCTTCCGCATAGGCGAAAACTTCAGGCCACCGATTGCTTCTCCCCTCTTGAGTAGATATCCGCTGAATACAAATTTGGTCCTGCGCTTATCGCTTTAAGCGGTAATTTACTTAAGGGCCTCGTTGGAGGGAGCAACTGTTAAATAGCGCCCAGTCTTTTAGGAGACTCGAGCTTACCCAGCCATTACACATTCGTGGTAGGAAGGTTGATGACGATACATTTTATATTTTGTCATTGTTGGTTTTTTTTTTTTCAAGTTATTTAAAATTAAACCGTCAGGATGATGAAAAACTTCCAATTCTTGTATTCTGTCGAGATACTTTTTAAGACACTTTGCAATTTCGTGTTAACAGAATTTACATCAAGCAGCGGCCAAGTGTCAAATGAAAGAGCTGCCAGTGGCAACTGGTCTGACGAGTTCTGTTTGCCCGATGACGTTGATACTCTCAGTCAGACATTATCACCGGTAATCTACACGGTGATTGGAGGAACCGGTATGCTAGGAGTCATTTTGTTGACCTACGCATGCTACAGGTGCCACAATCGAAGCTTACGTGTGCAGCACGCCCGCTACCTGGCTACTTTACCTTCACCGCCCCAGTTCCCTGTTGGCGCAGCTTACATCTACAGAGATGATCTCAGGATGATTTTGGTGAATCAAAACTAAATCGTGTCTAGAGTAGTAATCTTCACAAAGGACCAGAAAAATTTTAGTAGCCATTTGATATCTTACAAGAGAATATCGAGATTTCTCATCAAAGTTGGGAACGTTAGATTGAAAATATAATGAGCTGCAATCTGAAAAAATTCCAGAAGAGAATCCCAAAAAACTTTAAGCTTCCACAAAATTTGAATCCATGCCTCCCAGAGACGATTGATGATAACGCCAAACAAGTACCTAAAGGGCATGGGTTCCAATCCTATCATAGCCTGATCTTTTCGTCTCAGCTTTTTCTGCAATTGTCTCAACTGCGATTCATCCTTTAGGATTATTTCGTTTCTTATAAATATCCATAAGTCAAAATGTGAGTATCATTTATTTGTAGAAATAACTAGACTAGTGACAATCAACAAATTAGTAACCATTAATGATCATTGATATGTAAACAGCCTGCCTATCAAATGCTAATAATAACCATAAGCTGAGGTCTCCTGCACGTGGTGACGTAAGATCAATAAAAGGAAATATATAACAAAACTGCGCGCACAATCTGATATGTGTTGAAATACTTGTCATCTGTGAAAAAATTCCCTGTATCAAATATAGTCACCCATGACTAATTCTAACAATTTTAATCAATATACAAAGTATTATCATGAAAAGCAAAATTCACGGGAGAAGATTTTTACTTAGGAAAAACATCAAACAAAATGTAAAGAACTTCGTGACCTCTCTATTAGATATTCTGCAAGCGCAACTCCATAATTACACAAAAAAATCGACTCCGTTGACTTGCGCTGATCGGCATCCTATTTTATGGGATAAAAAAGTTTGCGGGACGGAAACCCTTTTTGCAAATTTCCTCTCAAGTTCACAAAAAATTAGTTAGGAAGTAAAAGAACCATCATCCTTTACAACTTCAGTTACGGCACACTCTATTGGGTCAAAACATTAAAAAAAAAACCCTAAAATGCAATACTAGCTACTTAAAAACTACTGAAAGTTCTTTAATGGACTTACGGAAGTAAGGTTTTGCGTCTTGGTTCGCGGGATTCTATTTCAGGAGGTTTTTAAATTCTTTGTGAATTGAGGACTATCTGCAAAATCCACATGCGAAAAAACTCATTAAATTTCTATACTTCATGGCATGAACAGTATATCTCGGAAACTGAGATGACCTCTTCACGAACTCCATGAAAACGCTAAGATATGTTCGATTATGATTCCTTAGAATGGACATCACTGGTTTCAAAACTGACCTGCCTGCTAAATTACGATCGTGTAGCCTTTGCTAAATAATAGAACATTCAAAAAAAATAAGAGAGAAATGAAATGAACGATATGTTATCACCCTGCTAAGGGGCCTTGTTTGGAAGAATATGATTAGGAATTCTTCTTTGTTTAAAGAGGAAAAATTGAAACTTGAATGTTGAGTAACCCCTTCCCTTGTTTCCTCTCCCCACCCCGTCACGTTTTCAAAGCATGCACAGTGAAGACGGCAAAGACTTAAGCCTCGTTAACAAACGGTTGCATGGGGACAGTAGTCTTAGTACTGGTTGCCATGACAGGAGGCCCCACACTAACAGGAGGCTGGATAAACACAGTTCCATGATTGGGCCGAGCAGGTTTGCAACAGCTGCAGCAGCCGCAGCAGCAGCAACAGGTAGAGATGAGGATGATGAGTACAAGAATGGTGCCTCCGACCACAGCTCCTCTTTCCATATCGTTCATA